TGATCTCTTCCCTGATGCTCCAAATTGACTCTAGTCTCTTGCATGCTCCTTCCTCTTCTACTCCATCAGCTTCTAGCCAAGGAGATAAAATATGTAGCTGCTCTTGGTAGCTACCTTGTAACTCTTAAAGTGCCTCTATTGAAAACTCTTTGGTGTGTTCCTGTAAAGAAGCACCTAGTAAAGTTTGGGCAAATTTTTCAGTAAAGAGGGGAAAAGTAAAAGTGATTTTAGAAAGGGCTGCAAGCTGATTTATTGAATGCACTGCTGTGTGAATACCGAATTGGAATTGATATGTTACATGTTTGAATCATGAATATTCAGGTGTTAGAAAAACAATTCTCTACAGGCAAAGTTTTAAAATAGACATAATGTCCTGTTGGTTGACAAGTTAAAGGTATCATTTTCAATGGCTCTGGCTTTCTGCCAGCAGGAGTGAATGATAGGTCCTAAAGCAATTCAAGGCCTGCTTGCCAAGAAGTTTCTTGAAACAATGTAGGCAACTTCAAAATGCTTAATACTTCTGTCAGTGAAAAAAAAACCCTGCTGCCTCTTATACAGAGTAAAACATGTATTTCTAATAAAGCCACTTTTGCACATCAAATTTATAATTCCTGCCAAAGTTGGCCGACTTGATCTGCCACATAACACAGGGTTTTGGAGCCATTGAGTCCTTAAAGATTGACTCCATCAGACCCTTTAACCCCCTTCTGAGACTATCAGTGATGCTGTACTGCTGTTATGACTCTTTCAGGGTACAGTCAGTGACAGTTTTATCACTGATTCTGGCAACATCATTGTGGCTCTCGATATTAATCCATGTCTTGTTTTATTTGATGGACATTTTACACATCCAAGTGGTTATAACCTATACTGTTAATTGTATTGTAAAAATTGATATTTTGAATATGTGTAATACTTTTCTTGCTTGTTAGGGATGTTCCCAGTGGAGAAATCCCACAATTTGAATAGTGGTAATGGGACCAGTATACAGCCAGCCCCACACTGGATTGCTCAGTCCAGCCAGCATGGTATCAGTAAAGCAGTATAGGCTGCTAAGGAAAGGGAAATGGGTAGAAGGGAAGATCTCACTCAGTCTTGATTAAAGAACTAGTAGAGACAGGAGTGCTTAAGGAACCTATCCAACAGATTGCACGAATTGCCTTCCCACTCAGGCCACTAAGTCATAATGAGACAGTTGCACCACATGTATCAGCGACTGACAATTGTGTGAACTGGCACCTGTGGCAAAAATATGTGGCCAGTAGACAAAGGCTCCCCCTAGGGTTATGAACATGGTACATATGTTAGAATATGGTTATATATGCCATATTTAGGGTCTTAAATAATTAACCTATTATGAAAAACTAACTCAGGAGGAACTGTGAAACATTCTCTTTATATTTTTTCTACTTTAGTTCTATGTTCTCCATTTAATGAGGGTTGGACAGCCTCAACTTTAAGACTATTGCAGAATACCTAGGCAGAATCACTCTTTCTAAGCAAGCTTGTTACCATCACTGGGGTCTAAACAGGCAATTAAGTGTTCTGATTTTAACTTCTAACTCTTTTAATGCCTTCTAGGCTATAAACAGGGATGGCGATAGTACCTGTGTTCTTTAAAAAAAATTTTTTTAGAGGGTAAGGGAGGGAGAGAGAGAGACAAACATCCATGTGTGAGAAAAACATCAGTTGGTTGCCTTTCATGCACCCCCAAATGGGGACCTGGCCCGCCATCCATGCATATACCCCAATTGGGAATCAAACCAGCAATCCTTTGGTTTGTAGGCCAGTGCCCAATCCACTGAACCTCACCAGCCAAGGTACTGTGTTCTTTAACAGAGGAGGATGTAAAAAAAAGTAGAAAATAGCCCTGGCTGGTGTAACTCAGTGGATTGAGTGCGAACCAAACAACCACAGTTTGATTTCCAGTCAGGGCACGTGCCTGGGTTGCAGGTCAGTTCCCAGCAGGGGACACATAAGAGGCAACCACACATTGATGTTTCTCTCCCACTCTCTGTTCCTTCCCCTCTAAAGATAAAAAATAAATAAAATCTTTAAAAAAAAAGTAGAAGATAAATTTTTCACAAGCAAACTAATGTGTGTAATATGCATCTATTTGTACCAAAATTGTGATTTAGCTCTTCTCTAGAGCCACCATTTACTTGTGTGTATTCATGAGCATTAAAATGGCTAAAAGACAGGGAGTAGTAAGATGAAAACAGAGCAAAATGCTTTCATACAGGAAGAGTTATTTTTCTCACACAGCTTGAAGATTGAAGGGAGAAAAGCAGTTTGCAGATCAGGCATTAAAATCAGCTTGTAACTGCATCTGCCATTATGTTTATTGTGCCCTATATCCTAGTATGTGCACTACCATTAAGGCTTCCTGATCACCTTGTGGGACATCTGTGTGAAGGGAATAAGGGACATTTTCTATGTCTTAGGGGCACTGAACTAGAGATTTTGATAGAATATTAGAAAAAGAGATGTAATACCACAGATTTCTACATTTTGCAGATAATGCTGTAGATCCAGATGTGTCTGCCAGGACGGTCTTTATAGATGTGGAGGAGGTCAAGGATAAATTTTGTTTGACCTTTACTGATGATGGATGTGGAATGACACCTCATAAATTACACCGAATGCTCAGGTAAAAATGTCTTCATTTTTTGTCTCTTCTCTTGAGTTTATGAACAGTAGTTAAGGCTTAATGATTTTCTTTAATATTTTGCTTTCCCTTTATTCATTCAACAAATATTTATCAAGCATCTATTATGTGCCAGGGTACTGGTTACAAAATAGACACTTTTTGCTTTCACAGAATGTACAGCCTAGCTGGCAATTCAGACAGTTAGGTAGTAATCATAATAAAATGGTAAATATAATGATAGGAAAGTATAGAATGCAATGGGCCAAGTTAGCAGGGGAACCCAATCTAATCCAGGAGGTCAGGAAAAGCATCATAGATAAAGTGATATTTAAACTGAGATCTAAGGGTAAGTAGTAGAATTTAGGTAAAGGACAGGGGGGGCATGGGATGAGGGTTCAGGCAAAGAGAAGGGCAAGTGTAAAGATGTGAAGGCCATCACTGGTCTGAGACCTTCTATAATTTATATTCACCTAAATTTACTCTTAGATTAGAAGTATTGGAATTGGGATGATCTTTGGATTAAAACTATGAATGTGCCTTGGTATAATCAAGGCCCATGAAAGATAAATAGAAGGCATTTATACAAGCAGTCTTTGGAGGCTTTGCAGTAGAATTTCAAAGTCAGGAAATTATCTTTTCCAGCAGCTGAGGCTGGTGATATAGTAGTTCATCTAATTACTTGAAAAGGTTTGCAATTGAGAATGTAAATTTGTACTTTACTGTATTCACGTGTCACTCAGTGAAAGATGAGTATTCTCTTAACTCTTTCCTTCTCTCTTCCTTTTTTAGCAGATGAGATTGATTGCTTTCCATGTGGCTTCCTGAGCTAGTGTGTGAAGGATGAGTAACAATGGAGGGTTTCAATGGAGGAGGGAAAGGGCTTCAAACTATCGAAATAGAAAACATTCATTTTGTTGTATTTCTCTTTGTAGGTTCTCTAATTCTGTAACCCTGTTTGTAGAAAAATCCCTTTGATCCATCAAAGAAATGAAATGAAATTTGGGTGCGACCAATTATAAATTTGGTTGTTTTATCACTCAGTGGTCTATGTACCTTGTGTATCTTCATAATTGTTTAGAAGTGATAGAATGTGTCTAGAAGTGACAGAATGTGGCCAGTATGTCAGTGAAGTTATGGAGCTGACCCTACCTTTTAACTTTTATCTCCTAAAATTAATATCTTATATTAATGTAAATACAACTTTGGATGGGATGGAACCTAAATATGTGTATGTCTAATTCTGTATGTACTAGTTTTTTTCTAAATCACTTACCTTCTTACTGACTCCTTCTAGTCACACCTTATACCAATGATGTGGGTGTCAAATAGTGGGCTCAGCAGATGTTACCACTTTCCATTTTGCCTGTGGAAGTACATCTGTGAAAATTGGTCCTTATAGTTAGTTACAAGGCAGGAGAAAGAAGGATGGTTTCAAAATAATTGCAACAATTTTTGTTACAGATTCATTCAACATATTTTTACTGAACACCTATGTGAAAGTCACTGGAGATAAAGTGGTGAACCAAACAGACACGGTTCTTGCTCTCAAGTGGCTGATAGTTTAGAGAAAAATATAGAAAAGTATTGACTAGTACTAATACAGCTAAATAGGCTATCCCGCCCAGTGGTAACTGCCATGAAGGAAAAGTACAGTTTCTATGAGAGAATATAACAGTGTGATCTGCTCTAATTTATGGACTCCAAGAAGGCTTCCCTGAAGAAATGATATTTGGGTTGAAATATGGAGGATATGCATCATTCATGTAAAATTTCATTTCTTCCCTAAGGAACAAAACAGAGCTAAATAGGCAGAAGCCTCTTTAGACATAGCAGGTCTTTTTTTGGTATTATCATGTCAAATATGTCTCCCACTAATCTGGGTTGGGAAATTGTTCCTCATATTTAAAAGCCCTTATTATATGAAATGTTAAAGGGACTTATCTAAGAAAAAGAAGTTAAAGAAACATGAACAGTGAAAGAACAACAAGCTCACAGTTATTAACAACCACACCTAAAACGAAAGCAAACTAAAAGAACAGCTAGATCAGGAGTGGAAACATAGAAATGAAGATCTCAAGGAGGGTTAGCAACAGGGGAGTGGGAGGAGGAGATGGGGGGAGAAGGTACAGAAAATAAGTAGCATAGACAGTAGATAGAAAATAGATGGGGGGGCAAGAATAGCATGGGAAATATAGAACCTAAAGGACTTGAGACACATGGACATAAACTAAAGGGGGGGTAATGGTGGGGATGGGGGGCAGGGTGGAGGGGAATGAAGGGGGGAATAGAACAACTGTAACAGCATAATCAATTAAAAATAAATTTAAAAAAAAATAAAAAAATAAAAGTTAAATTTAGAGAATTTTTAATGACCCCTGGTTTATGTATATGTGCTGGATTTTGTTTCTGATTTTATCTTAAAACAAACTTGAATCTGTTAGAGGGTCCCATTTATTTAGAAGAGATAATTTAATCCCATCATAACGTCTACCCAAGGATTCCACTTACCACATTTTCTTTTTTTATTTATTTAAAAAAATTTATTTATTTTTAGAGGGGGAAGAGAGGGAGAAAAAGAGGGAGAGAAACATCAATGTGTGGTTGCCTCTGGTGTGCCCCATACTGGGGACCTGGCCCGCAACCCAGGCATGTGACCTGAGAATTGAACTGGCAACCCTTTGGTTCACAGGCCCATACTCAGTCCACAGAGATGCACTAGCCAAGGTTCTTTTTTAAATAATTGAATTTTAGAGGTACCTTTGCAAATTATTGTTAAGTATGTTAGTTTTTCTTTTATTGGTTTGGGGGCATACTACTTTTATATTTGGAAAAATAATAGAGGTGGTTATGCAAAATTATTAAGCCTACAGAAGTTCAATTTGATTTGTAACATTTTTATTCTTTTTTAAATTGTATTTTTCATTGATATTATTTTGTGTTAGTTTTGGGGATACATAGTGGTTAGACAATCATATACTTTACAAAGTGTTCCCACCAAATTGCAGCACCCAGCATACACAGTTGTTTGAATGTTATAGACTATATTTTCTATGCTGAAGTTTATAACCCTGTGACTACCAATTTGTATTTCTTAATCCCTTCACCCTTTTCACTTCCCCCATCCTCCCTGTGTTCTCTGTTTCTATGAGTGTTTCAATTTTCTTTGTTTATTTTGTTCTTTAGATTCCAGATATAAGTGAAATCATATGGTATTTGTCTTGCTCTGATTGGCTTATGTCGCTAGCATAACAAAAAGGAGCATTTCTATACCTGGAAAAGGATTTTGGGGAGCAAATCCAAGAAAATCTCACATCCATCTCAGTACCATCTTTATTCAGGTACCATTCAATTTCCTTAATGTCACTGCTCCTACCAGCTCTCTCACTATGCCCTGCCCCATTACTAACCTCTGTTCTGGGCACACCCTTTGCAGCTTTTTTTTTCCTTTTAAATATATTTTATTGATTATGCTATTACAGTTGTCCCATTTCCCCCCTTTATTCCCCTCCACCCTGTAATGCCCATTCCCACCTGCCTTACCCCCCTTAGTTCATGTCCGTGGGTTGTACATATATGTTCTTCGGTTTCGACATTTCTTTTACTATTCTTAACCTCCCGCTGTCTACTGTATACTGTCGTTATGCTTCTTATTCCCTGTACCTTTTACCCATTATCCCCACTCCATCCCACTGATAACCCTCCATGTGATCTCCATTTCTCTGGCTCTATTCCTGTTCTAGTTCTTTGCTTAGTTTTTTTTTTTTTAGGTTGTATTATTGATAGTTGTGAGTTTGTTGTCGTTTTACTGTTCATATTTTGATCTTCTTTTTCTTAGATAATTCCCTTTAACATTTCATAAAATATGGGCTTGGTGATGATGAACTCCTTTAACTTGACCTTGTCTGGGAAGCACTTTATCTGCCCTTCCATTCTAAATGATAGCTTTGCTGGACAGAGCAATCTTGGATGCAGGTCCTTGCTTTTCATGACTTGGAATACTTCTTTGCAGCCCCTTCTTGCCTGTAAGGTTTCTTTTAATAAATCAGCTGCTGGTTTTATGGGAACTCCTTTGTAGGTAACTGTCTCCTTTCCTCTTGCTGCTTTTAAGATTCTCTCCTTAACTTTAATCTTGGCTAATGTAATTATGATGTGCCTTGGTGTGTGCTTCCTTGGGTCCAAGTTCTTTGGGATTCTATGAGCTTCCTGGATTTCTTGGAAGTCTATTTCCTTCACCAGATTGGGTAAGTTTTCCTTCATATTTGTTCAAATAAGTTTTCAACTTTTTGCTCTTGTTCCTCTCCTTCTGACACCTCTATGATTCAGATGTTGAAACTTTTACAGTTGTCTTGGAGGTTCCTAAGCCTCTCCTCATTTTTTTGAATTCTTGTTTCTTCATTCTTCATGGTTGAGTGTTGACTTCTTCCTTCTGGTCCAAAGGTTTCCTTCCCTTCACTGTCGGTTCCCTATACATTTTCTTTACTTCATTTTTCATAAGCTTCACTTTTTTCCTCTATTTTGTGACCATACTCAACCAATTCTGTGAGCATCCTGATTACCATGTTTTGAACTGTGTATCTGGTAGGTTGGCTATCTTTTCATTGCTTAGTTGTATTTTTTCTGGAGTTTTGATCTCTTCTTTCATTTGGGCCATATATTTTTATGTTGGTACACCTGTTACAATGTAAGGGGCAGAGCCTTACATGTTTACCAGGGCAGGGCAACCTACTTTGCTGTGTATTGGCACTGTATGTAGGGGAGGGGTCCAAGAGGGAACAATGCAGCTTGCTCAGTTCTTGCCAGTTTTCAGTCACTTCCCTGGCTACCCACAATCAAATTGGGCCCTTCTGGTAATTCTCAGGTGGGTGAGTTTGCATACATTCTAGGACCCTATGGGTCTAACAGACTCTCCTGTGAGGCGGGAGTTTCTCCCACTTCTGCTATACCCAAAGGTTTTTTTCAGTCAGAGGTTTTGAGGCATTATTTCCCCATGCTGGAACCCTGGGTTGTGCACTGTGTCTTGCTTCCCAGTTGTTCATCCTGGCTTATCCACACACAAATATTTGACCTCCCATCTGCCAGCTGTAGCTTTGCCAGGAGTCCTTTCCATCCCACCTCCCTGTCTCCGCCCCTTCTACCAGCCTGGATGAATGTTTCTTCTTTAACTCCCTGGTTATTGGACTTTCATAAAGTTCAATTTTCTGGCAGTTATGGTTGTTTTATGTTTGTAAATTTGTTGTCCTTTTGGTTGTATGAGGAGGCACAATGTGTCTGCCTATGCCTCCGTCTTGGCTAGAAGTTCACTGATTTGTAATATTTCTTATAATCCTTTCCACATTTCTACCTCTTTATGCTAATCTTCCTATTTTCTGGCTAATAAAACTGTTATGTAATTGCAGCAACAGTCTTTCCCATAAATGAAGAATCTCATGAAAATTGAATTAAAAAGGATAAGCTAATCATCGACTTTCTTTATGGTTCACAATTGATTCTCTTTAGCTTCTACAGGTTAGTGTGTGAACCAACTAGTCTATATATTCAGCTGCCTTTTTTCAGCAAGGTGGAAAAGGGTTAGCCACAGATCCATATTTGCAAACTCTACTTAGAAGTGTGTATCTTAGTAGGTCTTTTCTAAAAGAAAAACCAGAGAAGAGCAGTATGTGTAGCAGTCTTTCATTTTTTCATATTGTATATTACATCACCAATATATATAGGAAACAGCGCCCACCCTTGTATGTCCATGGATTTGCTAAGCTTTGTTTCATTGGTCGGAGTCCCAATTTAAATTCACCTCTCTATAGTCTAGAATCTTGATATTTTATTAGTCAGGAGAAAGTTGCTGTCTTCCTGGATTCCACCAAAATAACTGGTATCCAAACAAACCCCTTTGATGTGTAAACACTGTTGTCTCTTACATGAGAGGATATAATAGGGCTTACTGAAGAGAAACCACCTATCTAAGCCCAGCTATCTCTATGGGAAATGAGTGAACTATACTGAACTATATAAAATTAATCCTACAATTGTATTATTTATTGTGAGGGCTTTTATCTTAAATAGTTATTTGATTTGTATCTAGCATCCATTCTGCAATTTTCAGTTAAGTAGAATACCTAACATGGAACTATTAAGTGCAGATTGGTTCAGCCACTATGGAAAACAGTGTGAAATTTCCTCAGAAAACTAAAAATGGAACTGCCTTTTGACCCATCAATTCCACTGCTGGGATTATACCCTAAGAGCCTGGAAACACCAATCCAAAAGAACCTATGCACCCCAATGCTCATCGCAGCACAATTTACGATAGCCAAGTGCTGGAAGCAGCCTAAGTGCCCATCAGTAAATGAGTAGCTGAAAAAACTGTGGTACATTTACACAATGGAATACTACACAGCAGAAGGAAAGAAGAGCTCCTACCTTTTGTGACAGTATGAATGGATCTGGAGAGCATTATGCTAAGTGAAATAAGCCAGATAGTGAAAGACAAATACCATATGATCTCACCTATGTCGATTAGTGGAACCTAATCAACAAAACAAACAAACAAGCAAAATATAACCAGAGACATTGAAATAAAGAGCAAATTGACAGTAACCAGAGGGGTGGGGGGAAAGGGGTAATGGGGTATAATAGGTGAAGGTCCATCAAGGAACATGTATAAAGGACATATGGACAAAGTCAATGGGGGTAAGATCAAGGGTGGGATGTGGAGATGGGTGGGGTGGAGGGGCATGGTGGGGTGAAAATGGAGACAACTGTATTTGAACAACAATAAAGAAAATTTTTAGAAAAGAACAAACACATAGAAAAAATTAAGTTGAACATAACAGCGATATCCAGAAGCTTCCAGATTCTGTCTTCTCATTATTCTTATCCTTTTCTATTTCTGGTTCTGTCCCTCCCCTACTACTTACTTTCTCAACCTTATATAGTCATTTGGTCTTCTAAAACTAAGTAACACAATCAGGGTTTATACTCACAAAGGGGGAAAAAGATGATAGGTGGCAGAAAAGGCAGGAATGTCTAGGAAATTAAGAGAGTACTCTATAGTCTTTCTACTTTCACCACTTGCCCTTGACCTCTTAATTAAAGCTTTTTGTAGCATAAGGGAAGGTTTAAGTTCCAATAACCATACAGATTCACTTAACACAGTACGTTACTATTTATAAAGAGCCCTGAGTTTTAGATGTGATATTAAATCTGAGGTAGAGCTAGGGGATAGCACCTGACGATTCTCAGTTACTTCTAGAGTTAGTTTAAAATTCAAGTTTGAATACTATTTTATAATATATTGTACATACAATATATAATTTAATCCTCATAATGACTGCATCTTTTCTAGCCATTTTTTCATAAGAGGAATAGAAATGTTTGACTCTTACCAACTTCTCTAAGTTTGTTTCCTGGAATACTAAGGGCCATAGTCAGCAGAAATGAAACATTCTTTGGGGATTTTCATAGGTACTTCTGCCCTAGAAATTACTTTTCTCTGTGGTTAGATTTACTTGTAGGATGCACAAAGCTCTTGTAACTTCGTCTACTCTAAAAAGATTTAATGGTATTATTGTATAACACTTTGAAATAGAAAATCGAAAGGTAGTATTCCTTCTTAGGAAATAAACACAGGCCACAGCCTTCCAGAAGTGGAAACCAGGCAACTGAATCCCACTCAGACGTGTAAGAGCCAAGGCTACACTGTTCAGACATGCCATACAGAATGTCTATTTCATTGATGTTGGAGAAGCATTTAATTGGTAATATATGAAAACTTTCCTTAGACTGTAAATCACGAGGGCAAGAATCATACCTTTTTTATCAACAGTTTTGTCTTCAGTATTTAGTACAATGCATGGCACATAGTAGGTACTTAGTAAATATTCATTGAATGAATGGTATATAACATTGTAAACTTAGTCAATCTGGACAGAAGCAATCCTTAAAATTAGTTTTATTTGTGTGAGGGAAGGTATATGAGGTAGATAATCATCGTTTGCTCAATTTAATATCTTTAATTTTTTGGTTTTATTATTTTGTTGCATGTCTAAATGGAGTATATGTTGAAGGGAAAGGATCTGGCTCCCAGATTAAGCTGACCACAAGGGGCTATAGAGATTGTTGGGGTGACTCAGTGAAATGCCTTTAACAGAATAAGAGAGACTTTATACTGCAGCTGTTTGCTGATATTCAGAGGCAGAACTACCTATTTTTATCCCTTGGCCACATTCCAATGAACTGTTCCAGCAGATGGAGCAGAGGGTAAGAATTGAAAGGTTATCTTTCAAGTGGGTAGTTGAAGTTGCTAAGATATATAACCTCTGACTCATTTCTCGAAGGTGATACAACCAGGTTTGGAGATGCCTAGTCTGGTGCCTCTGATCAGTGCAGTTATCTGGTACTTTTATTACCCTCTGTACGGTGTACTCAGATAGCCATCCTTTTCAACATACCCTAATCTTACTATTAGCAATCAGAGCCATTTTCTCCAGAAAAAAGGTGACTACCCATGGTCTTCAGCTGTTTGTGTTAGTGAAAAGAAGCCACCTTTACATTTATAAAATGTGAGTCTATTATATTGGAAGTGTATATCTACACACAAACCACACAGGAAAATTAGTTCCACTACACTATAGTAATTTCCTGTGTTTTTAACTTAATATTTTGGCCAGAAATAATCAAAAGAGAAAAAAGGAGGGACTTTTTACAAGTGTTAATTCATTTGTAGCTAAACATTCTGCCTGCCACGTATCTTAGTATGCTTTATACCTTTCTGGTTTTGTTTTTTCTGATATCCTCTTCCTTGTGTAATTACAGCTTTGGATTTACAGATAAAGTAATAAAGAAGAGCCAGTGTCCGATTGGGGTCTTTGGTAATGGTTTCAAGTCAGGGTCCATGCGACTAGGAAAGGACACTCTTGTCTTCACCAAGAATGGGGGTACCCTCACTGTTGGACTCCTGTCACAGACTTACCTGGAATATGTCCAGGCCCAGGCAGTTATTGTACCAATTGTTCCATTCAACCAGCAAAATAATATCCTTTCTGGAAATGGGGAATGTTGGCTAAAAATTAGTCTAATTTGATGTTTTGATAGAAACCTTTTCAGGTCAAATCCACCTATCAATGTAACTGTCTGAAATTTAATTTGAATTTTCCCTATTAAATATTTTTAAAAATATAAGTGGACTATTGACAGAAACTTATAAATATTTTTGTTGTATAAAAATGTCATTTTTATATTATTGATCTGTATTCTCCCCCTTCACCACTCCCTTGGTAAAGTACCTCCTCTTTTATTTTTCCCTAAAGGGTAGCTACATGTATATCACACTCCGAGAAACATACTATTTATCAGTTGATCTGATTGCAGAATCATTCATTTTCCCATTCCTGGACAAGCCATTATTTCTGTTAAATAACAAACAGGTCATCTTGACCCACAGAGTATATCGATAAAGTTTGAACTTATTGCTTCCAAAGAGTCTAAAAGTTCAGCCTTTGATCTATTTTTTAAATATAGAACTGTCTTTTTTTTTTTTTTACATTGTATCTTTGAAGCTGTATTCTGCAGGGGTAAGTGATTTTTGTGTTTGTTTCTATAACCTTTTTTTCATTTTGCCTTTTTCTTCTGTAGCAGTAATGCCCATGTTTTATATCTCTATGTCTATTTTTATCTAAACATACAACTCAAAAGGCAGATCTTCCTAACTAATAGCATTTTCTTAAAGTATTATTTTTTTCTTTGACTATATTTGATTTTACAAAAAATGATTATTACTGAGGATTCCTTGCCAAGCCTAGAAGCCATCTTGAACTATTCAATTTTCAACAGTGAAAATGACCTCCTGTCTCAGTTTGATGCCATCCCAGGCAAAAAAGGCACTCGTGTTATTATTTGGAATATCCGCAGGTAAAGTACTTCATGGGAAATAGATTCTGTTAAGCAAAGGTAGTATGATAAAGCATACTTTAATAAATCTTTAGAGATGCAGAGTAGTTAAATTTTGTTAGATATTTATATCTCATTGCATATTTTTTAACTTTCTTACAGCCACAGCTCTGTTTGAGATAGTGGTTCTTTTTTTAAAAAGTTTTTTTAATCCTCACCCAAGGATATTTTTATTGATTTTAGAGAGAGAGGAAGGGAGAAAAAAGAGAGAACCATCGATGTGAGAGAGAAACATCGATCGGTTGTTTCCCATACGCGCCCCGACTGGGGATCGAACCCGCAACCTAGGTATGTGCCCTGACCGGGGATCGAACCCACAACCTTTTAGTGTATGGGATGACACTCCAACCAACTGAGCCATCCAGCCAGGGCGAGATAGTGGTTCTTATTAGCAAAATGTGGAGCTTGATAAGATGGAAACATGAATATCCTGAGGCTATTGCCATAAATAATGAAGACATTTCAATGTTATTCTAAAATCTTTAGAATCCATTATAAATATCTATTTTATATTCATGGACACTGTTTTGAGATAGGTAAATGATAGTTATTTAACTTATTTGACAATGAAAATAAAGTATGAAAAAGAGACATTAGGGTAACAAAGCATGGCATGATCTTTAAAACTAAGGACCTCTGTGTAAGTGCTTTAGAGTATCTGAGTTAGAAGTAGAAAAAACTTTGGAGTAGATAAATTTGAACTGTGATGAGGCCAGCTTCAGGTCACAAACAAAACGATCTAGAAATACTCTAGAATACATGATTTGTTTAATCTAGTTATGTCAAATGGAATATATTTAAGTGTCCACTAAAACCTAAAAGCCTTTCATATAAAACAGAGGTGTTGTTTTGTTATGTTTAATAGAAAAGAGTATGAGGTATATTTATTCTTTTTTCTCTTTAAGTTAAGAATTTCACCTCTCTTCTTAGCTGGGCTAATCTTATATAAAAACCATGCTGGTTTGTATAGAAAGTACTTTCAACTAAAAACAAAAAAAAGGAGGTTTTTCACACATTGATAATTTAGATCTTCCTTTGTCCTATTGGGGAAAACCTCAAATATTATTTATCTTATAAAGGATTATTTTTCTGAGGTATTTTCAGTGATTTAAATACATTAAGTAGGCTTTTTTCTTTGTACGTTGTTTCTCAATTACATAGTAGTAAGTGTTATGTAAATAAAGAATTTCATATTCACATAACTTCAAGAAAAGCTGGCTTGAACAAAGTTTGCCATGTTGCTTTATTGCAGCACTTCTCAGGCTTTAATATGCTAATATTATTTCAATATGCATGAAAATATGCAAGAGCAATATAATATGCAGTATTACTCAATTTCAAAAAAAAATTTTTTAATCCTCTTTTCTTTGGATAGTGAATGGTGGGGGCCAAAGATAGAAAACCTCCCCAGTGTGTTTTTGAGTGGGGTTGGGTAGTAAGAATCAGGATTATCCCGGAAAATCCAGAATATACTATTATAATGACATGGCCTTTATAAAAGCTACATATCATAATGGCCCTGGTTCAGCCTTGAAGAAGGAGCTACATTTCCATCACAGCAGCTCTGATCTTGCAAAGCCTGGAGTATGAGAAAGGTATTAGATCTTTGAGGTGGCTCTGTGGGCCTGGAATTGTTTTTCAATTGTATTCACTCATGCAACCAAGCTACCTTTCCTCCCTCTGTCCCTCCCTCTCTCCCTCCCTTCCTTCCTTGATTACTTCCTTCCTTCCTCCCTTCTTTCCTATTTAAGAGTATTTTGGGGGATTACTGTTCCACAGGACAAATTTTGGAAACTATTGTTCTGATACATGTTTTCTCCATAACCCATCAGGAAACAAAGATGGGTCTTGGCTTTTTTTCCTGGCTGTTGTTAGTGGTATAACCCAGGATCTGGAAATAGACCACAGCTAAGTGACCCAAAAGGATTATGAGAAGAAAATTTCTTATGAAAAGAATATGATTACTATAATATTTAAATGATAATTCCATAAATAATACTCTATAAAACTAGCAAATATATGCTATTTCTTTTTAAAAATTTTTAAAAATTTTATTTATTTATCTTTAGAGAGGAAGGGAAGAGGAGAGGGAGAGAAATATCAATGTATGGTTGCCTCTTGTGTATCCCCTGCTGGGAACTGGCCTATAACCCAGGTGTGTGCTCTGACTGGGAATCGAACTGTGATCCTTTGGTTCACAGGTCCATGTTCAATCCACAGAGCTACACCAGCCAGGGCTTCTATTTTTATAATAACCTTTTTTCCCTTCTAAGAAATAAGATCTGGGGAAATCTCAGTATCTCATTAGTCCTTCCATAATTGCTGAAATTGGAAGAAGTCGGTTTTGATTAATCTATTTATTCAGTTAGGGAAAATGACCTATCCAACAATACCCAAAAGTTGGGATCTATTATAAGGTCCTGCTTCAAGGATAGCTGACAACCATTGGATTTATCAGATCACTTATACACACTACACACACCATCCTTTTTTTTCCTTTTGTACTTGACATTACCACCTCTGTGAAACAGCAGATTTGTTTAGGCTTGAAATACCCTTAATATTGTGTGGTCTTCAAACTGACTGATTTGTAGTTTAGTACTGGTAGTCAGGGAAAGAAATAGATATGTGAGTTTTGGCTCATATTGTTACTTTTCTCTTGGGTTCCTAGTGCATTTTTGTCCTTTGGAACCAGTTTTTGTTAGATTGGTACTTGTCTCTTTTACCCAGAAATAAAGATGGGAAGTCTGAGTTGGACTTTGATACAGATCAATATGACATCCTGGTATCAGACTTTGGCACAGAAGAAAAAGAGACTGGTGGTGTTACCTCTGAACTGCCAGAAACAGAGTATTCCTTACGGGTGAGTAAAAGTGGTTTTTCTTCAACAATGAGAGGTAAGAATTCCTGTAACATGAAAATCTATATAGTAATATCTCATTTTAGTTATATAAAAATGGCCACCTTTCTGCCCTATGTTAGGTTTCTTTTTCACTGTCTCTGCTAAAACAGTTTAGCAAATAGATTTAGTATCATTTTAGTATGGTAGTTGACAGTATAACATAGTATGGAAACTGAGCCAAATCTTTGTCCAGAATGTTTTAAGGAGATGTCAATAGAATTCGCGATATTGTATAATAACTTTCCCTTCACTGTTCCATAGGCATTTTGTGGTATTCTGTATATGAAGCCACGAATGAAAATTTTTCTGCGTCAAAAGAAGGTGACTACCCAGATGATTGCCAAGAGCCTGGCTAATGTAGCATATGATATATATACACCTACTTTTACAGTATCCTTACAACTACATGAAGTTTACCTCTTCATTTCGGGATCAGATTTCAACATTGGCACAGAAAAACAAAAACCTTTCCTTTGCATTTCTTAAATGCTGATCTATGTACTATTATTTATTCATTTATTTATTAGAGACCACCTGGAAATGATTAAAATAATATGGCCCTGAGACTTTGGAGATTCTGGTTCAGTAGATTCTGAAATCTCTTTTTTTAAAAAATAAGAAATATTATTTATTTTTAAATTCTCAGCTGATTCTAATGGGTAGCCAGGTTTGAGACTCTGCTTTAAGGTCCACACCATTTAGTTTGTATTGGAATTTATTATATATTACATTGAAATAAGCAAAATGTTGTCTAGAAATTGATAATCTTTTGGACATAGCATGATTTTCCTCATGACAAGTCCACACTTATGTTGATAGAACTTAGGAAAGTGGAAATTAAATCTTCAACAGGTTTGATGTGGATTTCCTGGTACTTCTCATAGTGGCAGCCACTCAGAGAAGTAAGTACTCATTTTCACTTCTATGTGCCATTGCACTAGGAATAGATTCCAGATACTTGAGAAAATCTTAAGATTATGGAAATTAGGTCTATATTTGTTAATAGTTTTAGGACCAAGAAAAGCCTTTGAACAGCTGAGAACTCATAAGCAATTATGAAGAATTGCTGTTGTAATTTATTTTCTAGTATATAAGCACAGCTCTTGGACTAAGGAACACTGTTTATCAAAGGTATTATTTATCTTGCTTTGTCTTTCTTCCCCTGACCAAAAATTAGAAATTGTTTCCTTTAATAAAAAGCTACGTAATTGTTACTATAAGCATATTTATTTTCTCCTTTTGGAAAGAATACAGTATCTATTAGGAAAGTTTTTTTTTTTTTAAGCCTTAAACAAGCCCAGCTTAACAAAGCCAAAGATAGTACTGTTAGTATCTGTAGGTAAATTAGTTATATCACTGTATGTAGGTTAGGATATTGGTGCCATAGGTTTAACAGAGCCAGTCTAAAGAATTGTTTTCCAACTGCATATTTTTCAAATATGCCACATTTCTGTCACCAGCTTCCATTTTTTATGGGTTTCTGGGTTTGTATTCAGGGTGACTCCTATACACACACTCTATATGTACCTTAACTCTTTTTAGCTGTCCTTCTAATTAAACTAGTTACCTTCTCTAATAGAATTTGGGCTAAACAAATTCACTGTGGAGATGAGTAAAATGAAACTCCTAATAACATTTCCTCCAAGGTCACTGAGGGACAAGATCACTAACGCTGATTTATTTATTCCCCAGCTATCAAAGGCCTCTTCTTTCTTCCTGTGCTTTCTAATTTGAGGAACCTCCTACCCCAAGGTACTCTCTCCCCATAATTAAGAATTATAAAAATATACCATAGAAATAAAGTACTTAACAATCTTTATATTAAAAATGTTAATTTTTTTACAGTGGCTGGTGTGGCTCAGTGGACTGAGCACTGGCCTGCAAACCAAGGGTCACCAGTTTGATTCCCAGTCAAGGCATATGCCTGGGTTGCAGCCTGGTCCCTGGTGCCGGGCACACAAGAGGCCACCACACATTGATGTTTCTTTCTCTCTCTCTCTCCTTTTCCTTCTCTCTAAAAATAAATAAAAAAAATCTTTTTTAAAAAAGAATATTTGTGAAGCTATTACTACAGACTTTTCAAATGCCCTCTAGAAAGGTTGTTCCAATTTATATTAGATATTCTTTGGTATAATAGAATGCAAATTTTTTTCTGAGAAAGCTATGGGCATTTGTCTCCTTAATGATTTTCTTCTCAGAATAAGCAGGTGAAAATAACTTTTGGCTTCTCTTGCAAGAATAATAACCAATTTGGAGTAATGATGTATCACAACAACCGTCTCATAAAGTCCTTTGAGAAGGTGGGATGCCAGGTGAAGGTGAGTGATTAATGTGTTTTTTTTTTTTTGTCTCAGAAGGCTGAAAACAGTAGGAAGAGGATTTAAAATTTGCAAAGGGGATTAAGTCATTAATGACTTTTTCTCCTATCTTATGTTGGTGGTTAAATCTTACCCTAGAAGTTTATGTTACCAGTGAACCATCTTGTGTTGAAGAACTCTACTTGTCATTCTCCATAGATATCAGTCAACATGGAAACTTTACTGCATGCATTTTCTAGGTAGCTGTTAATAAGAGAATCAAAACACCAGCAACTCTGTCACGTGTAAGTTTATTGGTGGTGGCTCTTTATATTTTCTTAAGGAGACAATAAAGCATAGTGAAAAATGCATAAAATTTAGTGGTTGATAGCCAGGATTTGATTCCTGGCTTCTGTACTTAAAAGCTGTGCCACCTAGGCTAAATCACTTAATTTCTCTGAGGTTCAATTTCTTACCTGTAAAGTGGGAACAGCAGTAATAATTTTACCTGCTCTTCCTACCTTAGAGCTTACACAGTTGAGAGATTTAAATTGGATAAATTATGTAAAAATACTTTATAAACTGAACCATACAAATATTATCATCTTTAATGTTTTTAATATATTTTATTGATCATGCTATTATAGTTATCTCATTCTCCCCCTTCATTCCCCTCCACCCTGCACACCCTCTCCCACCCACATTCCCCCCCTTTAGTTCATGTCCATGTGTCACAAGTTCTTTAGCTTCTACATTTCCCGTACTATTCTTGCCCTCCCCCTATTTTCTTTCTATTGTCTATGCTACTTATCCTCTGTACCTTTTCCCCCTCTCTCCTCCTCCCACTCCCCTGTTGGTAACCCTCCATGTGATCTCCATTTCTGTGGTTCTGTTCCTGTTCTAGTTGTTTGCTTAGTTTGCTTTCGTTTTAGGTGTGGTTATTAATAACCGTGAGTTTGCTGTCTTTTTACTGTTCATATTTATTGTTTTAATGACAATTTAAATTGGAAATATCCACAAGTATTCCATTCATTGCTATTTTACAGATAAGATTGCTGAAGCACAAAAATGATAAAGTGCTTTATATTACACAGTAGGACAAACTTATATTAGACCCAGAATATCTAGTGTTCAGCCTATGTTGATTTTCCTTGTTATATCATCTCTACACAACTCATGTTTGTGTGCTAGTCTAATTATACTTAGTTCCTTTCATTAAAGAATTTTTAAAAAAGATTTTTAACCCAACGTATCTTGTATCAACTTGTAATTAATAACCCTTCACATGTGACTCACTTTAGTAGATTGGTGGCCTACATATATAAAATTATTTATTTTATTAGAGTGTGATGGTTATGTAGCATCCTTAAAATATTGTGAGGTGAAGTTTGGTTTCAGTACTCTAAAACAGTAGTATATAACTTTGATTGTTTTTAGCTGTATCATTTTTTGTTCAAATGAAATCATATGGCAATCCCAGAATACAAAACAGTTGAAAATGGAGATAGTGTGAAAGAAGTAGAGATGGTTATTAATACTTGGAAAATCCTAGTATATCTTTAGATCATAGTTTGAAAATCTTGTCCTAGAATTTGCCAGAGGTTTCAGTTCAACCTAATATTTGCAGTCTATTGAAGTATATTCTGAGTGTTTCTCTAGACCTTGCTGGTCTTACTTTGCCCATGAATGTTATATAACCTTTCTGTTATTGTTTGGAATCAAAAGGAAATACCTACAGGTAGTCAACAGTAATTTGAGTGTTTAAATTAATATTTTTCTAAGCCAACTCATGGAGAAGGTGTTGGAGTAATTGGAGTCATTGAGTGCAATTTCTTAAAACCTGCGTACAACAAACAAGACTTTGAGTATACCAAGGAGTACCGGTGAGTCATTCATAACCTGAGGGATTTCTGATAGTTTGTTCAGATATGATTCTGTTCTATGAAACCTCTAAAAGCATCTCTATAACCCAGATAGATAAATTAACTGAGAATTCCTTCAAATCTATTTTCCAGGATGAGAGAAAAAATGTTTTGATTTTTATATTAAACCTTAATGATACTTGATATATGGAGCTCAATTGAGATAAACCTTACCTTTAAAAATTATATAAAGAGCATAGGAGTCATTTAGTAAAATACTTCTGGTGAAACAAAGAGCCTTGAAATTATCTTTCTTAAAAAATACATCATATATACTGTATTGTGTGTTCACCACCCAAAGTCAAGTTGATAAGGTTTTTCTTTTTTTGCTTAATGCTTTCCACCCAGCCCCAATGCTCCTCCCCTCTGACAGCTTTCAGTCTGTTCTCTATCTATGAGTCTGTTTCTATTTTGTTTTAGTTTATTTTGTTCATTAGATTTTTATTTTATGTTTTTAAATTGTATTTTATTATTTATGGTATTACAGTTGTCCCAGTTGCCCCCTCTACCCTTTTCCCTCTCTCCCCACTCCCTCAGGCAATCCCAACACCATTGTCCATGTCCATGGATCATGTGTATATATTCTTTGGCTACTCTATTCCCTATGCTGTACTTTATATCTGCATTACTACTGTATAACTACCAATCTATTCTTCTTAATCACTTCACCTTTTTTCACTCATCCCTCTGACCCCCTCCCATCTGGCAACCATTAAAACATTCTCTGTATCTGTGACTGTGTTTCTGTTCTGCTTATTTTACTGAAAAGAGATGAGTGGATCTGAAGTTATTGAATATATTCAGGGGAAAAGCAGCAGTTTGAAGTTTGTTCTAAAACATTGTCTTGAAGCCAGTGAGTGGATTGAGAGGAAACTATTGAAGCAGCAGGAAAGACATGTGTGTTTTTGTGGAAGCATCTAGATTTAGTAGGTAACACAAATAGGTAAGAATGAGAAAGGGCTGGGCATTGAGGCCAAACCAGCAAGCGTATTTTTGGGAGACCAAGAAAGGAGTAGTTGAAGCCAGGATATAATAGTTTGTTTTAAAACTTTGGGGAAGGAATGAGTCATTCATCTGTTCAAAGTTCATTCATCATATAGTATGAGATATCTCCTGTGTGCCATGTACTAGGGACATATTAATGAAAGAAGAATCCTTGATGTCTATGAACAAATGGGATGAAGTATATGCAAATAAGAAAGTTAAATACCTATAAAATAATTGCTTTAATGGGGGAATATGCAAAATGGGAAGAACCTTTAAATATTTCTATAGGAGTTGAAGAAAGCTTCAAAAAGCAGATTATATTTGAGCTTAAATTTTAGGGAAAAATTGGAGTTTTCTAGGTGGACAAATAGGGGAAGGGCATTCTAGGCAAAGGGAAGTATATACAAGGACATGAAAGAGCATGTGATATTCTAGGAGTATGGAGAAATAAGGTATGAGGTGCCATGTTTGTTTTCCTTGAAGTCTCAGTAGCAGTTTTTTTTTAATGTGGGAAAAGTAATTCCCCAAATCTCTTTTTGTGTGTGTGTGTGCGTGCCCCAAACTGTTAAAAATTAGATAAGTCTCGTACCTTAATTTATGTGGAACCATAAGAATTTCAAGATTAGTGCTAGACTAACAGACAACTATTTGGATGGCAAACCGAATTAATTTTAGGGTAATTGGTTCTTGGTCAGTAGGGCTACTCAGTGGTTATGGTGACTGTCTGTCATCAGTTTTAAGTAAAATGGTATTTTATATATAAGTCTGGTACATCATGGAGATCTTTGACTAGGACTTGACTCTTAAGAGTGAAAGTTTAGAAATGACATCAGTTTGATAGGTGTCTCAGAGCCAAAGTCATTGTATTTTTTTTCAGTAAAAGGAATAGTGACTTTCTGGTGATTAAGCAAGTAGTTACGATTTTTGAACTCTAACTGTTAAGATATCAAAACTTAACATCTTCCTTTAAAAATTTTTTTAATCCTCATCCAAGGACATATTTATTGATTTTAGAAAGAGAGAGAGAGAGAGAGAGAGAAACATTGATGTGAGAAACATCAATCAGTTCATTGCTTCCTGTGTGTGGCCAGACCAGGGATTGAACCCACAACCTAGGTACGTGCCCTGATCAGGAATCAAACGCGCACAGCCTTTTGGTATATGCGATGATGCTCCAACAACTGAGCAACCCAGCCAGGGCACTACTCTTATTTCTTATATCATCTGTGTCAAACCCAATGTACCTTTTAAATTTTAGAGGTTTTAGACCCTTGGTTTGTGATGTTTAGTTTCAGTATGAGTTTGGAGTGATTGTAGGGGATCCAGATGTAGTTCATCCCCAGTAGGTTTATTTAGTTAAACATAAAATTTCTGGCTTAAGTAGCTTAATAATCTGCTACACATTTTATTAAAAACAGAAAACTAGTATACTGTTCCGCATATAGAATCTTTTGAGGATAAAAATTTATGTAACTCCTATTTCTTGCATCAATTTCCTTTTTTACTTAATATATTTTATATAAAATGAGAAGATGTTCATTTTAAAAATAAGGAAATTTGACTGGAGCATTGAAGAAGGTTGTCTGCTATCACAAATTCATCCTAAGAGTATGATAGTTGTGAGAACTGAAAATAATAACAGAGATAACAACCATCATACTGCCGGAATGTCTTCAAATAAATCAACTATAATATCAGTTTTAATAGTTGTGGATATCAGATTTCAACAGCAACTATCAGGACTCAAACTTACAACACTATTAGAGTAAATTTTAGCTTCAAAAGTACAATCACCCCTGGCCGGGTGGATAACTGATCCAACCAACTGGTTGGAGCATCATCCTGTGCACCAAAAGGTTGCAGGTTCGCTCCCTGGTTGAGATGTGTTCAGGAGGCAACCGATCAATGTATGCCTGTCTCTCTCTGTCCCCTCTCTCTCCCCACTCTCCCTCACCCCTATCCTTTCTCTCTAAAATCAACAAACATATCCTCAGGTGAAGATATGTTTCAACTATCCTCAGCTGAACTTTAAAAAGTTCAGTCAACACATATTGAGTACCCCAGTTTTGCATGGCACAGTGACTGGGCTTTGTGGAATTTTCTGAAGAATTAAGGGAAAGTCCATCAAAGAACATGTACAAAGGACACATGGACAAAACCATAGGGAGTAGGTTTGACAGAGGAGGGGATGGGTGGGGAGCAGGGCTGTGGTGGGGTGAAAATGGAGATAACTGTACTCGAACAATTAAAAAAAGAAAGAACTACTATAAAAGACACACGGACAAAACCGAGGGGGTAGGTGGGAGCAAGGGATGGAGGTGGGTTTGGCTGGCGTGGGGGGGAGTGAGGGGAGAAAATGCAGACAAATTTAACTGAACAACAATAAAGTAATTAAAAAAAGAAAAAGGTATGGTTTCTGTCTTTGAGGAGTTATAGTCTATATGTAATAGTGGATTATCACATACATGAAACAATTTAGAGAGTAATAAAATGGTTGTTTGATCAATCAAAACCTAAGTGGTATGGTGTAGGAAAAATGTCCTGAGAAAAGAGATAGGGAAGGTTTTGGGTAGAAAGTGTGACTTAAGATTTGCTTTAAAGGACACAGGATTTAGAAGAGGGAGGGAAGGGAACTCCAGGATGGAATTATAGCATGAGCTAAGGTAGTGACATGAATTCAGAATGGTAAAAATATGGGGAGTAAGGGTAAAGGGATATAACTGGGAGTGAGGGAAATAAAGGCAAATGGATAGAGTAGGGCCATATTTTAGAGCATGCATTAGTAAACTTTTTCTGTGAAGGGAGAGGAGGTAAATATTTTAGGCTTTGTAGGGTATGTGGTCTCTGTCACAACTACTCAATTCTGCTGCAGTATGAAAGCACCTATAGGCGAAAACAGGCAGTGGCCTGGATTGGGGCCACAGGCTGTAGTTTGCTGAACCCTGTGCTAGAGCCAGTTTCTAAACTATGTGCTGAGCTGTACCTAATGAACTCACAGTGGAACCATAAGATATTTTAATTTTTTGAGGGAAATGCAGTGATATTTGACTTCTGTTTATAAACAATAGAAATTGCTTTCTATTGCTGTCATAACAAATTACTATAAACGTAGTGGCTTAAGACAACAGTGATTTTATCTTAGAGTTCTGTATGTTAGAAGTCCAACACAGATCCAATTATGCTAAAATCAAGGTGTTGGCAAGGCTGCATTCCATTCTGGAGGGTTAGGAGATAATGTATATCTTTGCCTTTTTCAGCTTCTTGAGGCTGCCGGTATTTTTTAACCCATAGCCCTAATCCTCCATCTGCGAAGCCTGCAATGGTGGGCTGAGTTCTTCTCACATCGCATGACTCCAGTGACCTTGCTTCTATCATCATATCTGTGATTCTGACTCTCTACCACACTCTTCCACTTTTAAGGACCCTTGTGATTACATGACAGTTCTATATAATCTTTCTATTTTAAGGCCAACTGATGAGTAACCTTGATTTCATCAGCAATCTTAATTTCCTCTTTCTGTGTAACCTAATATATTCATACGTTTCAGGGCTTAAATGTCATTGCAGGACCCTTATTCTGCCTATCATATTTCACTCTCTGCCCCCTAATATCTCACATGCAAAATACACCCCATACCAACATTCCCCAAAGTTTCAACTACTACAACTCAAAGCCTAAACTCTCATCTTAATGTCATCTGTTCAAAATTCCAAAATCTCATCATCTAAATCAGGTATGGGTGATTCTCTGAATCTGATGCATCATGGAGTAATATCCCTTTCCATCTATAAGTGTGTCTTTTTTATTTTCATATTTTGCTCCCAAAATACAATAGAGGGACAGGCATAGGATACCAGTTATAGGTATTCTTGTTCAAATGGGGAGAAAATTGAAAGAAAAAGGAATCTCTGGTCCCAGGCAATTTCAAAATCTAGCCAAGTTAACTCCATTAAATTTCAAGACCTTGAAGGAA